CCCCCCCCCCCCCCCCCCCCCCCCCTGGTTTTTCTACATATTCCGATTTACTCATCCTTTTTCAGTCTTCATCTGACCTGTAATTTATAAATACCGTTTGCCAATACAGCGCATTAGCACTGTTCCAAAATCGGTCTGGACTGTGGTTACATCATTATTTTATTACTCGTACTCGAAATAGTTGTCGCAAAAATTGTCAACTATGAACATATGTTTGAATCGAACACTCCAAAATAGCAAAAAGCAGTTCCCAAGGCCGTCGCTTCTTTCCAAACCTTTTCTTTCAACCCCAAGACCAGGAATTAACCAACTGTTGACCTCACCTAAAATACAATCCCGCCCATCTCACTGGGCGGCGAATACAATGCCATAATCGATCTATCACCATTGTTCCCTCGCATTTGCTATAGTATCATACGCACTATTATCACGCTCTTATCACTATCAAAACATCCATTATTCAATTTTTCAGCGTATAAGAAACAACAACAGAATGGGCAACTTACGTGAACAATTTTTGGTCGAACAGTTGTGACTCTTGCTGTATATGTTTCATAAACTGGTGGGAATCCTATTTGAACATGGGCTGTATACAGATTTTGTGAATGCTCCTGAAAGCACATATAAACGGTAAGAACAATAATCGGCAGAGGGAGCAGTGTTTTCCTTATAATTTTGCATTTTACCTTAACATCAACAGCTCGGCACCAGGGTACAAATTCAGGATATTCGGCAACAGTTGCTGCAACAGCGAACATTTCCTCCGCTGTATACCTGAAAAATGTGTCGATGATCAAATTTTTTTGGGAAATGAAAAGTGCCACTGATCAATTTTTAGGTTGAAATTTTGCAGTTCCCCCTCCCCTCCACCAACCCCTGTGTGCCAAAGAACTAAATTTACAAAGGCATTTAGCTGTAATTCACTGTATTGTTTCCTTAAAAAAAAAAACTACGCAGACAGTCTATTTCCCAGCTGCTTTGACTGGTGCTAGTGGTCAGTTGGTCAGTGGTCGCCTGGTGGTCAGCTTTTTTTCTAGTATTTTGACATTCTGCTGCAAGAACTGCTGGACTCAACTGTTCTCCTGACAGACATATGCACATGGTAAGACTTTAGTCGTTTTTTTAAATATCCTTGATTTATGAAAAAATTTGAGTCTCAGTTGCGTATGCAAATTCGTTTTTTTTTCGATTGAATGTAACAGTTCCAGGGTTAATTATAATGCTTAAAATGGCCTAAAGTTGAAGAAAGTCAAGCTAAGAAGGCGAAATCAAATACAAGAATTAAGTAACTGAAAAAAGTTCCATTCATTAACAATCGTATAAATTCCTATTCAGCATCACAACTGGACCTCATCAGCGTATGACGGCAGTGGTATTGGCTCCATTACAACAGTACTCCATATAGAAGTACCCAGAGGAAGGATTTCTTAAATACTCGATATAGGAACTTAAGAGGCTATCTACATTACCTTGAAAACATCGATGAATACAGAAACAAATCGCGAAAAGAAAAAAAAAACCATTACCCGACAACACGTTTCTCCTGGTACTCCTTTAGTCGTGTCGTTGCTGGATTTGTTAAAAAGAACAAATTCCTTCGTACGAGAGAATGAGCGCATTTTGCAATCATTATAAACAGCGCACCATTTCTGCAACAGCATGTTACTGTTTTGTAAAATATGACAATTTTACTAATCAAATCATTAGGCGTAACAATTTCCACTGCATAATAGATCCCAGAAATATCGAGACCACCTGGGCTATCAGTATGGGTATCCCACATATCAGTGATTTTAGGCTCAGCTATGCCAGGCCCTTTGATCGATCCTGAGTCCCATACCTCTGACCAGCAATCATTAGCCGTTCGATGCATGTGTGTGTGTGTGTGT